GTTGGTTTTGGTTTTGTGTTTTTTTTTTTCTTCTTGTGACGTGAAACCAAAACAACATTTGAAGGTAGTTTGAGCATATCTAAAGTGATCTGCCATTAGACAGTTTTATTTCTAGGTTGGAACCTAAGGGCGAATGCTGAAGGTGAAAAGACATGATGCTTTAAATTGCTTTCTAGACATGTTACTGTAACTTGTAGTAAATGTTTCATTTTGTAAAGATTGTATTTAAAGACGTGGTCTTTATTGAGTCATGTAGGCATGGATAGCCGTGCCCAAAAGTAGTAAATGTCCTAATGGTGCCGTGTTTGTCTACTTTGCTTTAGAAACTTCTAGTGCAGAAGCACTGATATGGTATAATCACACAGCTTTTACTGAGGTAGATACTACAATATAGGGATTAAATATAATCTATTAATACTTCTTTCTGCTGCTTTTTCCATCCCCACTGGATGGAATCAACAAACATTGGTTAACCAGAGATGAGGAGAAAAATACCATGCAGAGAGTTTACAATAACGTAAAACTTTAGACGTGTCATCCAAGTTACAGGATCGTTTTGGAATGTGTATCTACGTCATGGCCCCTGAGCCAACTGTGCTACTTCTGGATGGAAAAGTCCCAACAGAAGTCTGTAACCTCGGTAGATTCCTGCAGCAGCCCTTTACTTTTTTTTTTCTTTTTACATTTTGCAGCCTGAAGGCAGTATTGGTAAAGCCACTGGAATAGTTTACCACTTGTAGTTAATTAGTCATTCATTATGGTAGCCACCACATTTTGAAATTATTGCTCTCGTAGTGAAAATGTGAGATGTACTGAAGTATTCACCTCCTCCCTCAGTATAGGCCTTTGCATTCTTAAACCAATTCTTGGGCCGAAAAGCAAAATAAACCAAAATAAAAATAGGCCATCCGCAACAAGTTTAAATAATTGATCACTTAAAAGTAGTCATGTTTAAGTCTTGTACATTGTAGGTTTTTTTGCTATAATTGAATTTTAGTCTGCAGAATTTGGCTCTGCTTCATCAGCTTTGTGAGTTGCTTGTCTACAGCATCTTTAGCTTGCCGTTGCCTTCTTCTCTGTGACACCTAGGAGATCTTTCTTTCTGTCTTGGTTGTGTTGATTTTGTCAAAAATCAATATTGTCGGCCCACGAGGAGCACATATGGTTGAAGAACTTGCCAAATCTTTGTGCCTAAGTGAAGACACTCCACTGTTTCTGCCATTGTGAGTAATGCTAGGCTGTGTTTAACCAAATTAAAAAACCTGATACTAGTAAAATCTTCTTTTCAAAAACTGCTTACTTCTACATATTGGCAAATGAAACTGAGGAAAAAGAAGACTGCAAGAAAAGCAATTGCAGTGATCAGCTTGCTGGAAGAAGCTAGAAATGAACTAATTTCTTTTAAGAAGACATGCTTTTCAAAGCATCTTCAGTCAAGTAAATCATGACCCAGTGCAGTTCTAAATATTGACAGAATTATCATTTAAAAGATACAGTCCTAAGGGTAATAAACACTTGTAGCTGATCTTACTCTTCAATACTTTCTTTGTATTTTCTCAGTCCAGGTATTCCATTGACTTTTTACCCTATGTCTTTCCTTGCTGTCTATCGGCAGGCTGCGGTCTTGGACATTCTCAGATCTGTAAACATCTAGCTGACGCAAGAGCTGTTTTAAAGTGTGTTTTAATGTAATGCATGATTTGCTTAGCGTTTGACAAATGAAAGATTTTTGGTAAGATTCTGTTTACTGAAGTGAAACACCATTTTAATTTTTTTTTTTTCTGAGAACAAAGCCTGTTGCTGTAAACTTCTTATGCTTCCATTTTGGTTTTTCCTTGTCTCCTTTCCTTTCTTTCCCCGGGGTAATAGAAAGATCAAACTTGACTTCTTGATGGTGTGGTGTAAGAATATGTTTTTGTCGGTGCCTAAAACTGATTCAGCAAAGAGGTTTAAAAATCACCTTCGAAAGCTGTTCATTGAAGCTGAAACAAAAGAGAGAAAGTTATTTCCTGTTGTATGGTTAGATAGCTTGTTTCTCGTGACAGGTGTGAGAAATTTTTTTGTTTTGCCGTTTTTCTCATTTCCCTTCTCTTACCACGTTCAGAGTTCGGTTATTTTATGATCTGAAGGTGAATGCTGATCTTTCTCCACATGCGTTTTTCCTAATGAGTACTTCCTATATATCAAAATGTCCCACTTGCTATCTGGATATCTAAGAATGGGGAATGTAACTGCTCTTGTCTAAGTGTGTAGACTGCTTCCATCCGCATATCTGTGACATGAATACATGTTGAGATCCTTGAAACAGTGCTGGTAACTGATGTGTATTTGTGAACAGCTGATTGTAGAGACAAAGGGGCCTCATCACTGATCCACGTCAGACAATGGTGAAATAATTTGAACTAACTGCTTTCAGCATGTGGTGGTTGCAACAACTTTCCCGTTGCAGTGTAAAATGTGAGTTTGCTGATGGCATACAGAATTCAGGAGGTGAATGCATTTGTCTGTCAGGTTGTGGAGTCTGGTTCTGTAAATACAGGTTACATTCTTCTGTGTTTTTCTTGTAATGCACGTTGTGGAGCTGCTGTAAATCTGTGCCGTGTGAGGTCTTGAATGACTGACCTGGAGACTTCACTGTTCCAAGGGTTCCACAAACTGCTGAAGTGTATAGAAGTAGTTGTGATTACCTGTGGTGACTACTAGCCTCAACTATTACCTAACCATATTTAAGTGTTGCAGTTATTGCAAGATGGTTGGGATGTTTTGAAACATTTTCTGATTTTTTTTTTTTTTTTTTGAGATCTGCTT